AAACATTTCCACATTATCTAAATGAAAACGGTTACGCATATTTACAAGCAGAGAAAAATGGGCTTCTAAGTGAAAACAATCGCAAGTTGCGTGTACGATTCGAAGAAGGCCCTACAGGATATAATGATAAGCCCGGAGATTAGTCAGGTCACGATTTGACTGTGTTTGGCTTCTTGGCGGCAATGACAAAGTGTCAGTTGTCAGCCGAATTATAATCCCATTTGATCGCTGTCGGAATTTTTAGCAAAATCGAAATCCATCCTAGCAACCATGATGTAAGCAAACCAGTCATCCGTGGTTGCATACTGAGTACTTTAAAACAATTTCTCATGGGAAATTTGAGAAGAAACTTTATTTTTCCATCAATGTTCTTAAAAACGTTCGTTTCGCAACTTTGAAATCGTTCTCCGCGCAATGCATTAAACACTAATTCGACCATCTGAATGATATACCCTGTGCGATGTTAATTTAACATTTGGTAAATTCTTTGAAAACGGCTTTATGTGTTACGGTTTAGTTATTGTGAAACTTTATCCATCCGTGATTGTGAGGAAGATTATATTCTATCTTTTTAGTGAAGCTGTGTGGCAAATAAGTAAATAACTAATGGAAAAGAATAATATTTCCAAGAAATTATAAATAAAACTTGCGTTTCCCATCTTTTTCTCTTGAAACTATAGCGGTAGCAAATATTTTTTTAAAAAATGAGATCCTTGCAAAATTTCAGTCGATTTCTGTCTTGAAGTCTCGATATTTTTCGGAAACCGCCTGCAAGTGTCGGAGTCTCGATTTCTTGTTTTTGCAAGGCCTTAGTCCAATCCGGATAGAGAGGAGAAGTGTGACGTCAAGTTACCATGGTAGCCAAATTTCTGGATGACAACAATAGGGCGGAGATTAAGCAACGACGACGGCCACAGTAACGACAACGGCAAAGAAACCCCGATAGGTTTAGACAACAAAACAACAACTTTGCAAGTGCATCACGCTTTTTTTTTTGTACTTTTCTTAGCCGTCGTTGCGCGACTGACAAATGAAACCTCCAGTTCTCGCGCCCGCATTACGGCGTAGGCGAACATAACTCAAAAGTTTCTTTTTTTTCTTTTTCTAAACTCACATACGGTCCTTTCGGATTAAATCTAGAAAATTTCGCCAACAATCAGAGACAAATTAAATGAAATTGAATAAGATCGATGAAGTTTGAAACAGCACGAATTTACTTTTTTGAAATGAATTTTCAGTTTATTGTCATCCAAAAATTTTGCTTCCATGGCAACGTGACGTAACGACTTCTCACTATTCGGTGTTTGTTGGAATAAAATGGTCAGCATTAGATAACATCGAGTGAAGTCAGATTGTTTCTTTCAGTAAATTACAAGAAGAACAACTTAAGTCCAACTTTACTGTGTAATATAAAAGTGAAATAGAAAAACTCCAGTGTGATGCTTTGAACCCGGGTCACTTGCTTTTATAGCCTACATCCATATCCACTACATCATCGAGGACTAGCTGCCAAATCCAGTAATTTTTAAAATATACATGTTCTTATATATGCCGTACCTTATTACAATATTTGAAAGATAACCGTTTTCAGTTCAGTGCTTAACCGTAATCACTGCAGATCAGTGCTTAACTCTCTACCGTGTTCTCTCCATAACTGGCGCTCTGTGTTTTGTTTTTTTTTTCAGCTATTCTAGCCTCATTGTACATTCCAGTCTCGTTCCATTATGAAAATAATGCGTTGTGTAAAATTCACAAGGTGTCCAATCTGGCTTCACTCGATGTTATCTAATGCTAAACGCATAAAATGGTGAAGAGCGTTTTCACATGACGTCACGGCGGGCATATTGTGTTCCAAAACAATGAAACGGCGGTCATCAGTGTACCAAGACAATCCTGTGGGGTTGAATTCTTTTCTTACGCAAACACTTTCTTTTGTTCCCGACCAATAAATTTGCATAGATGCTGGCCACGTGAGTGAAAACTCTCTATTGTGTCTAAAAGTACGCAAGGGTGACCACGAGAGACTACGGGTGACTACGAGTGAGCACGAATCACCACGAATGACCCCGAGTCAATGAAAAAATGACTGAACGAATGAAAACTTTATTTACGTATCAATGTGTTTAGCTTTACAGCTAATGGGGGACACATTAGACGATAATGATACATTCATAAAAGGAACATAATAAAAATTATAAAAAAGACCGTATACATTCTTTATATCTTCCCATCACTAAAATTATTAAAAACCAATCAATACACATTTCTTTTCTACAGGCGGATTACGACTATGCTGGGGATATGTACGTATCAGTTCACGAGTCCAGATAGGTCGACTTTGCTAATATTTCTCGTTAATAAAAAACCGTTCTTCTTCGGATCACCTTTGAAACAATTTTCTTTTACGGCCCTCTATAAAAAAGCTTTGAAATGGCTTTGTGGAATTTATTCTTCCCTCTTTCAGCCACGGAGGCCCGTATGCGATGATCTTTTTCATTTCTTGTTATTATCACTTGTTTTCTGCATGAAACAGACTTAAGATCCGACAACTGTCCGGCATGGTCAGAGAAGTTTTACACTTAATTTGCGACCACGTCCGAATCGTCTCTTCCTAATTACATAAGTGTTCGCTTAGGGGAGGTTCGAGCCGATTGCTTCCTTTAATACCGGAGGGACATTTGTTATTTTCACTGACATTTATTTTGTTTGTGTTTCACATGACACATTTACATTGATTATCGTTTTTAAAGTGTACGTGACTTAATTATCTACCCCTCTTGGCTTTGCCCTTTGCTACCCCTTTTTCGGATTGCCGTTTAATCGCTGCTTGACACTTTGGATTGTTGCTCGTCCATCGATACCGAAAATGAGCATGAACTTCTCCCTTGATGTCGTTGGTTACGTTCTGTGTGAGATCGGAAATAACAGAGGAGACCAGTCCTAGCAAGAAAGGTGTTGCTACGTGTGGAGCATATGTGGTTACATGTGTAGGCCATCACGACTAAACGTGTAGAACGCCTTGGTCAGTGTGGTAGAGAGGTTGTGGTGTTGGTACTGATTGATCCATGACCAGCAGCAAATATCATATCGACTGTTCCTCCGTTGGCGCGAAAGCCACACTGGCGTTCGGGCAAGAGACCTTGTTCTGTATTTAATTTTGGAAAAAATATTGAGAAAAATGCACGTTGCTTTGTCTAGTTTGAAGATAAAGCTTCTGAAAGTACTGGCAACTGCAAATACCCCTGTCCCTCCAGAAAAACCTTGATGAATCATTTCTGAGCCCGTCTGAACAACACTGACTAGGGTGGTGCGAGGGGAGGCGCCATAGTGGTACCAAATCCACAGGATAGGCGTTCTGTGGTACGAAAGTGCAAAATTTTCATCCAAGATTGTCGCATGTTGATTGATGAGTCAACTGAGCATGAATTTGGCAAGGATTTTGCTTGCAATCGATAGTAGTGCTGTTCCTCTGTGGTTGTCGCGGGAATGCCTGTTTCCTTTCCGTTTATACAAGTTTGCAAGACTCGCGTCCTTGAAGTCTTGAGGGGAGAATACCTTTCAATAAACCAATTGGCGTGAACTTTTCAGAACACTTTGGGACGGTATTTCACCACTTGCTCTTTACATCTCTGCTGAAATGGCATCTCAGCCTGGATCTTTGCCGGGAGAATTATCAAGAGCTTCATTTATTGAACTTGTGCTAGGAGGTCAATAGCAGCTTGGGCAATTGATGACGGACGGTTTTACACTTTGTTTAATGTGTTCAACCCATTTATCAAGGATCTTTTTGTGCTGCTTTCATGAATTGATTAAGTTTGAGCCATCATCGTAGAATCGTCTCGAGGCATTCATCTATGCATTCTGGTGGACTGGCTTTGTCTCCCTTGAGCCAGTTGTTGATCCGAGATGGTCTTGATTAATGAAGGTTAACTTTTTTAGAGAATGATGTTTGATTAAGTTGTTAGACAAGAAAGTACTTACTTTTCTGCTCTGAGAGTTTGCTGACTTCCTTTCTTATTTATCAAACCAGTTCTGTTGTTTCCTAGAGACTGGCCTTAGCTGCTGAAGTGCCGCAGCAAAAAGTTCATCCTGTTTTAGTCTTGAAGTGTTCTATCTCTTAGGAGGTTTCTTTCCTTGTGGTGTTCCTTTGGGCTTAATGTGGAGCTTGAGGTCTAGGATAACTAAACGGAGATCTGTCTAGCATTCTTCATCACAGCTTTTGGTCAACGGCTCTTTCAGTTTTTATTATAGATAACATCTCTAACATACATCAGTGTTTGGACCCAGGATGAATCCAGGTTTTGACTTGAAATTACTTTGACTCCATAATTTTTACTTAGATATTCCAGAGGATGTGCTTTCATTTTTGTTTCCCTCACGTATCTTTGGGTTATGCATATCAGCTAAGAAATGGCATCGAATGCGCGTAATTAGCTGACTGTGTCCCTTTTAAGTCATGTGGCTTCAAGTTTGGGGAAATAAAAGACCATTACTGTCGCATTTCGATGTCGCGTTTGCTGTTTCTACCCTCTCGTGCTACAAGAGAAAAATCTAGTTTCGGTATAAAAGTCACCGAGGATCTGAATTTTGTCGCTGATTAACTGGCCAGTCTTTTGTTTGCCCAGTCTTCTATTAGGCTTAAATTTAAAGACGTATGAGTGCGAAGATTATCAGTGTATGACATCTAGGGTAAAGAAACATAGATTACACCACAATACTGAGGATAAAATGACACTGCATAACTATTAGGGTACGAGTTTATTACAGAGTAAAACCATCATATCCAACCATGTGATTGTCTTTTTACACTTCTAGTATTTAGATTGAAATCAAATGTTCACTGGGCATTTCTGAGTCACTCCATTACAGAATAAACTTTGCAGCAGCGATAAAGATAGCGAGTTCTGGGTGACAGAGGAACATTGTAAGCCATCCCTCATTTACTTTTTCCTTTGTCGATTTCAAATTTGGCCAAGAAAAAACCTTGTGGGCACTCAACTTTATGTAAGTTCAAAGGACATGATGGAACCAACGACGTTTGCGAAGTATACGTTCCCATAATCTGTCGCCTTCTCATCACAGTAGACTCTGGCGCTATCCAGTCTGGTTGCTAAGGCCTGCATTAGTTAATTAAAGTGAAAAACGTTTTAATGTGCTTTTGATAGTCTTTCTGTTACTATTTGATACTATAGTTCATAATTTTTCTTCACTTTTGATTTTTAAGGTCCATGAAAATGTTCTCGTTAAGCGGATTAACGACGAAAAAAAAAAAGGTGATGCCATTCAGTTTTTTATTTGATTACCCGAAAATATGAAGCATCTTTTTTAATTAAAGGCTCTCTGAGTAAAATGTAAATATATCAGAAACCCCAAGGGCAGGTAAATAACATGCTTATTTTTCACTTGTAAGGTTTCCTAAATCAAAAGCTTTTAAAAAGCTTTAAATTAATTCCTGGAAATGCTTTTTCCCAAGAGCCTCCAATTGTTTGAGGTTGAATTGTGAAATATGGAAATTAATTATTCATGTGGAGTAGTCAAACAGTAGTTTTACCAGAAAGGGATGAGAAACTCAGAGGAAAAAGCATTTTTAACGTTAAGGCAGAGCAGCTTTGAAACTCTTTTTGACCTTCCAACACAAAAATTTTGTGTCAGTCGTCCGACGAAGTCGCTTTGCACACCAGGATGTAGTGTTCGCAGGTAGACGTTGGAGATGTTATGTCAAATTTGCTTTTAAAAGTGAAGCGGCAGGTGATGCGAATTTCTAGTTTGTAGGACACTGCGCTGTTACAACTGCCGACGTAAAAAATGAAGTCCAAGAAAGGTTGATAATTTTTGCGCGGTAGGGGTGTAAGTTTGATACAGTAACTTGGGAAGCATACCCATGATTTTCAATCACGTTAAAAAAGGTAGTAATAAGGTATGTGGGATCAGGGATTAAAGAGGGGGATCAGGATCACAGGTAAAATACCGGGATCAATACCACTTTGGACCTATCAAAGAGGACCCAAATCCTGAATCATGTTTAATTTTAACAAGCTTTACCTGCCAAGCGACAAGTTGAACTGGCCGCGCAGCTCTAAACAAATTAAATTGTGACCGCTGTTTGAAAATGGAAACCTAACTATTATGTTAAACATTTGGTGCATCATGTCCAGCGATGATGACGAATAAACTAAAACAAAGTGGTTGAAGAGGTTGTCTCATTTTATTTTAGTTTCGTTTTGTTCTCCTTGTCATCACTTTCAGTTGACGGCAACTGTTGACTGGACAAGTTTGGGCCGCGCCCTTAACTTAAAGAATGAACTTGCAGCAGCGGTAAAGATAGCGAACGCTGGCTGAACCATAGCTTCCCGCCTTCACAAGTCGGAATATGGCCAAGAAAAGCCATTTGGCCACCAACGTTCTGTCGGTCCAAGTAGTTAATAAAAACCCTCTCATCACAGTGCACTCTGGCGCTATTCAGTCTGTTGGTCAGGGCCTGCATTCGTTAAAGTAACAAAAAGTTTCGCCCCATGTAAGGAATTCCCAATTCTGGAATCTGGGGAAATTTTGTTTGTGGAAACGGGAATCCTAAGCTTTAGAATCCAGAATACAGCTCAGAATCTGGAATTTCAATAACGATTGGAATTGAGAATCCAAGTTCCACTGACAACGACTGGAACTGAAATCCTCGGCTTGGAATTCAGTATCCATTGCTGTCTTAGATTCTTATATGAGACGAAAAAGTTTTAACTGTGATCGTACTTACTTTTTACTGTATTTTTGCTAAACTCAACTTTCGCCAATTAAATTAACCGGACGAGGCAGGCGACGAATTTAAAGTGGCACGGAAACAATTTTTTACACAAAACTAACCACACAAAGTTTATATAACAGCCTATTGTATTCTGACTCTCAAAGATCCATTTGGATGAGTTGATGCCATTTGGATGAGCTTGAGAACGACTGGAGAACGAGGCCGAGCCACACAAAGCAGGCAGCCTGTCAGAAACAGTGGGGTCATAAGAGATGGGATTTGAATCCCTCGCCCCACCTCTCGCACTCACGAGACCAAAAAAAAAGGAAGCCATATTCTCCAATCGATCTAACTACACCAATCGAAACAGACTTACAATTTTGAGAGAACGCCCGCAAGATCATGCAAATATCGATTTGTTTCACCGACACCAGACCAGGGTTTTGTTTTTTCCAATCACGTATTTCGTAATGGGCGTACGTAAATGAAAAAGTACCATTCTTAGGGGCAGACCATTAGAAAAGTTACTGATGGTAGATAGAATTTCGGGCCGTTCGAAACACACACACACGCACTTCTCCTGCATTTTCCTCGTGAAAATGTCTAGCGACTAAAGTCCCCGATACTGTTCCTTTATGACTGGGTGTAGTAATAATTAAATTTAACCCCGCTCTCCATAAAGCCTGCAGCAGATCTCGTTGTTAAAGCATCCGAATTAGAACTCAAAGGGTCGTCAGTTCGATTCCCACCCAGGGCACGGAATTTTTCTGAGCTCTCTGGTGTTAGATTTCTCCTTCTTCTAAACAGATATTTTTCGTTGATGTTAATAACAAGAGGCCGGTACAAGAATTGTTCCTTCTGCCACCGGTATACTAATATAACTTTTCTATAAATGCCGCTTTCCCTTTTAACTGATACTTGGGATGTCCAGGCACTAGTAGCCATCCCACCCAACCCCACCTAGAAACATTTGGGGGTAACCCAGAGCCGGCTCCTGGTGTAACCCCACCACCCCTGAGGGACCTCTTCTTTTTTTTTCGTGGGTCTACGCCACCCATGACCTTAACGACTTTGTATCCACGACCCACAACTATTAGAAATAAGTTACCCCGAGATTTTGTATGAGGGTATTTGGGCTTAAAGGATTAAGGAGGTAAATTGACTTTTATCAACTCAGATCATGAACGCATGACTACGTGAGGTTGAAATTTAGTTATTTTTGATATTTTCCTCTTACCTGGATTTTAGTTTCAAACTCTCTGATTTTCTGTTTATGGTTACCGCTGTCGAGTGTTAAGAGATCGGCCTGAAAAATAACATATAACAGTTAAAGTACTGTTGCATAAGCACGCAACATAGTATTTGATATAATAATACGAAAGAACAAATCCCAATTCTCATTTTGTTGACGTTAACTTAAAACAACATGGTGCTATGCAGCTCTTTTGAGACAGTAGTCCATGATGATAAAGCTAACATTTTGAATTCTATTTCCACAAACATATACTTAGAATCATTTAACCTCTGAAGTTGACCCGTATTCAATTTTGCTTTGTCGCGTCAGTCTACAGGCACAGGATTCCAAATGTTTCATTACTGATTTTTATATTTCCGATGGATTAGCAAACTTTTCAAATACCTGGTCCCCGAAAAAGTTATTCAAGCCACCATAGTTTTGGTTGAATAATGCATGAAAGTGCAGTTTCTGCAGCGTTCAGGGCACTGGAAACCCAAACCTTTCTTAAAAAGTGAGAAACTGTAACGCTTGTTCCACAATGGAATTGTTGGTTGGATCAGTACTTTGATGACAATGTTGTATCCGTCCTGGTCTCGAGGATTTAATTTATTCACTACAGTAGTAAAGCAATCTTTAATCGCTTTAGTAAGTGATTTACCCATTGTGGTGAAGCCGCTCTCGAGCGACGTTCGAAAGGACAGAAACTGCTCATTAGAGCACGATACGTCAGGAGGGGTGGGAAACCAAAGTTCCATCGCCGTGTTCTTTTCCTGGTGCTTTTTCCTCTACCAACAGTAGCTCCTGAATCTTCCGTGGCACTTCTTCCTTTCTTGCCAACTCAGGGATTCGTCCCTTTGTTTTTGTCTATTATTCGGCATTTTCGTCCTTGAAGTTTCTAATGTATCATTCGCGAAGAAGACAACAACTTGATGAACAACGCAATGAGGTTGTGCAGGTGCAATGCTATCTTCACTGATTTGATCTCTCATTGCGGTGACAAGGTAGAATTTCAATTGTCATGAAATCAATTTTTTTTGTTTTTGAACTTACTTTAAGACATTTTTCGATAGCCTTCCCCGCCCTGAGAGTACGTTTTCTTCAGTTTGCTTCCAAATTCCAAGTATCGGAACATGGCAAATGAAAACCACAACATTGTGCATGACTAAATCATTTATATGTTTCCAGCTGGTTTTATATATATATATACTTTAACTCACCTTTTCTTTTAAGATGTTTGTGAGCTTCATCTAATTTCCCTCCACTTAGTTTGCAACATCAGTTACTCTATCTCCATTTTTGTTTTAAAATCACTAACGGCACTTTCATGGTTTGACATATTATGACACAGCTTTCAAAATATTTGTTAGCTTCATCCACTTTCTTCCCCAGCTGACTGCAAATCAATCAGGTCACCTCTCAGACCTTCCTCGACTTCACTCATTTTCATTTCGAGCTTGTTTTGCCTTCAACAGATCGGTCCATTTTGTTTTAAAATCACTAATGGCACTTTCATGGTTTGACATATTGTAAGCGACACAGCTTCAAAATATTTGTTAGCTTCATCCACTTTCTTTCCCCAGCTGACTTCGCAAATCAATCAGTTCACTTTTTCAGACCTTTCGACTTCATTCACTTTCATTTCGAGTTTGCTTTGCGTGTCAAAAGATCGGTCCATTGTTGTTATTGAATCGCTAACGGCACTAATTTTTTGGTTTGACATTCCACTTAACGCAGCAAGAATGACAACAGCAAACAGCACAAATAATTCTAGTGAAACTCAGATTCTTCCTCAATTTATCGCTAGTGACGGTTAGCAATTTTACCCTCTTCAAAATGATTTTCTAGGGCCTGAACGCTCTTCAAAGCGATTTTGGAGGCCTGTAATCTGTCGTCAAATGATTCTGGAGGGCCTGCACTTTTTCCTCAAATTGATTTTGGACTTCATTTTTGCTCTTCTGCAACTTCAAGTTGAAGGTTTCTTTACTTCATCCTTGGTGTCGTTTAATTTGCAGTTATTCAAATGGAGATGATATCTTATCTCGCCTTTCAAGGTGTGATTCAAGCACTTCTCTGAATCTGAAATTAAACAGGTCTGTTTTGTAATTTTTCTTTACCCAATCATATTTAAATGAGCCAGATGTTACTTATTGGTTATGGTCTCATAAAACATCGAGGAAGCTGTAATTCTAAATTTGATAGTGGTGAATACCTTAAAATTCCGGCAATAACTATTTCTATCCCCCCACAAACTCGTAATGGAAAATCCCTCCGTTAAATAACTGTTGAACATAAGCCCCTTGGAGCTTATAAATAGAAATTGTCCTCAGATACAAAGCAAAACCACCTGGACACTTCAACTGACGACAATCGATCATGATGAGAGATGAGACGCAGAACTGCAGAACTGAGAAGCTGATCAGGATACTATTGAAGTGTACATTTAGTTCGTTGAATAACGTGATAATTTTACTTTTATGTTATTTTCTCCCTTATATGTTTTGTCCGTGACTGTGCTCAAGATAGTGGGTGCCCTCCTAAAATCTTGTGTAATTCGTATAGAGTTAATGGAGCCGAAACCAGTTGTGGAATTTCACACATTTTAGGCATCCTACTGATGAACAGTTACAACACGTAGATATATATATTTCTAGCAACTATCATAATTTGCAGGTGTATCCACTTTCAACCGATTACAAACTGTGTTGGTGAGGTTTTGTGGTTTTGATGTCACCTTAGAGGGAGAGAGAGAGGGAGAGAAAGAGGGAGGGAGGGAGAGAGCGCGAGAGACAGGGCGGGGGCGGGGGGTGTGTAAAAACGAGCGCACCATGTTTGTTGGCTCGATGACTAATTCGAGCTGCCGACGTAAAATAAGGACCTACCTTCATGTTTTTTTTATAGCGCGAGCTAATTCAGACAATGCATTTATGCATCACTTTCACCCTAACAAATGGTCAGTATGAAAACAAAAGAAAGAAACCTTTATTGGTTAATGCAAAAGAAATGAATAGCATTCTGCTAAAGGTCGGTAAAAGACAATGATCTAAGTAATGATCCGGGTAAGACAGGAAGCAATTTCTTTTGCTATGGTGCAATACGTTTTCCTCATGTTGTATGGGGAAATTGCGTCTTAAAGTTAACAACCAAACTTACCTTTTGGAAACAGCCCAGCCAATTATATGGGCAGGGAACTTTCTGTCAGTGGACATGTATTGTTAATGATCTGACACCTGGAAAAGATAGCGCCAATTTGTTATAGGCATATTATTTACCACAACACAGACCCTCTTGTAACTTTTTTCATAAATGTCTTGAAGAAAATTATAGAGACTAGACAACAAAGCACCATTGCAGGGCATGTAACCGCGTTCATATCCACTACAGTTTAACCTTTATGAAAGGTCTGTCCCATCAACCCCCGCTGCCGCCTTTAAACAACAAGGTGTGCGCATGGGTCTAAATCCGAGACTACACTTATTCACAGATGGTGCCCCAAAGACGCTGGTAACTTGACTAAAAAAGATGACGGTTTTAAGAGTTCTTGAGATCTAGATGGTGGTTTAAGAGTTAATTGAGAGCAATAGACTCACAAAGGACAGAATCGAAAAGGATCACGAAATAACAGATCGGCCCCGCACCCAGTCCTGCTCTGCCTTTTAGAGCGCGCCCACAGGAAAGGACACCACAATCTTTGGAGTGAAGAAACCTGTTGATCGTGATCCTCTCACGGTTTTCATGCAGGGTCAAAAGAGGCGATTCACGTAAGACTTCACACTACAATATCATGAACTATGGAGTCAGTGTTGTACACGTAACTGAACGAAGTACAACAA